AGTTGGGCAGGACTCACCTGCGGGGGTCAAGCTCACCTGGTGCAGGCAGGTCTCACCTGGGGGGGTTCGTAGCCGCCGGCGTAGTGAAAGTATGAACCGACGATGAGGATGTGGTCGATGTCCCCCGTGGACGTCCAGATCTGGATGGCCTTGGTCCAGAAGCAGCGGTTGGAGAAACTCATTATGGCCAGCCCGCCCGGCTTGAGCACGCGGTGCATCTCCTGAAACACCTCGAGAGGGCGGCTCAGGTAGTCAACGCTCACCTGGGCGGGTGGATGGTGGATGGGGGAGGGGGGAGGGAGGGGAAGAAGGAGGGGAGGGAGGGGATAAAGGGGAGAAAAGAGTTTGAGGAAGGGGAGTTCACTTAGGAAATTCTGGAAAGAAGTTGGATAAGAGTCGGGTTTTGAAACTGTGCAGATCCCTCCTAGTTTGAGCAGTGAGCACCCGCTCCTTCTCCTTGAAGCCCTCTAGTGGCCGGCTCAGGTAGTCCACACTCACCTGGGATGGTGGATGGGGTGGGGGTGAGGAGGGGGGGAGAAAGGGTGGGAGGAAGGAGGCGGAGTAGCGAGGGGAGAGAGGGAGGAGGGGGAGTGGGGGATGACTTGAGTGGATTCTGGAAAGTGGTGTGTTCAGGAATCTGGGCGGCTTTGAAACGTCTCAGAGTCAGTTGGAAGGGATGGAGTAAGAAATCACTTTGGAGGATTCTGAAAAGTGACTCAAAAATAGCCAGGATGGAGATGTATGTTTTTGTTCTCGGACTGTATTCAGGTGACTTTTGAGTCGACTCAAAGTCACCTCAATAGCCAGGATGGAGATGTATGTTTTTGTTCTCGGAATGCTTCCAGGTGACTTAGCTTTGGAGACTCATTTTGAAAAGTGAGACCTTAGGATGGAGAGCATATGAAAAGCCGTAAGAGGGACGTACAGCATTGGTGATGGCGTCAAACGTGTTGTCTGGGAAGGGTAGCTTGGTGTTGGCGTTGAGGTCTTGAACCAGGTACTCTGTTAACACCTGGTGTGGGTGGGTAGTGGGCACAAAGACAAAGTAGGGTCAGCTTTCGAGTCGAATAAAAAACAGACAGATCACACGGGTAGTGGGCACAAAGACAAAGGAGGGGCGAAGGTAGCGATTACAACAGAGCAGTAGAGAGGACAGACAAGGGGGGGAGTGGAAAAGGAGTTCAGTGTTCAAGCGTTTTCAAAGTGGTGAGGACAGTGCGGGGCGGTTACAATAGAAAGGGGAGGAGGCGGAAGAAAAGGAACAAGGCAGGCAGCGCGGAACCAAGGTTGAAGCAGCATGGTGTATCGTGTGAGAGCAAGGACGTCGGGGAGAAAGCATGTGGGAGAGAGAGTGAAAGTGTTGAAGAGAGAGGGGGGGAGGGGAACAGCTTTGAGAATTCTCAGTAGGGGGCACACGAAGAGCTGAATGGTGGATGGACAAGGGCAGAGGCGAAACGAGTTCTCTCATTCCCCCAAGACGCATCAGCACAGCACCCTAGCAGCACTGACATCAACCACAGCTCCGAGCAGCAGCACCCAGCAGCACCCAGCGGCACCAGTTAGCACACCTGATTGCGCTCCAACTCGTCCTCATTGAGCCCCATGCCCACCACACGCTCCTGCTTGTACCCCTTGGGGTAGTGGCTGATCTGTTGCGTGCACCGAGGGGGAAATAGGGGGGAACAGGTTGGAATGGAAGCACGGCAACGCCCGGCGTTCAAGATGGTGGCTAAGTCTTAGGCTCACCAGTCACCTCAAAGGACTCCCCAAATCCCCCCCTTCTCTCCTGACCCCATCACCCCCCCAACGCACCCAGCTGCTGCACATGTCGAGCACGGCAACGCCCGGCGTGTTGGGCGGGGGGAGGTTCTCGCTGTAGAATTTAGTGAGGGCGCGGATGGCGGAGTCGTCTATGTGCGTCACGAAGCGCGGCATGGAGTAGAACACCGTGTCTGGCGTCCTGAGGGGCACCAGGGGATAGGTAGAGAGCGGTGGAGAAAGGTGGGAAGAGGTGGGAAGGGGAAAGGAGGGAGGGAAACTGCATGGAGTAGAACACTGTGTCGGGCGTCCTGAGAGGGCACCAGGGGAACGGGGATAGGTAGGGAGGGGTGGAAGTGCGTGGAAAAGGGTTGAAAAGGGGTGGGAAGGGGTGGGCAGAGGTGGAAGGAGAACGTTGGACACAGCCTGTAGCCTGTCTGGCGCGCATGCTCCACGTGCAACTCACGGCAATGGGAAGTGGACTCACCGTTGCGTCTCCTCTGTATCCTCATCCGAGAGAGCACCGAGCAACACCCATTGGCGAGTGCATGCATCTGCAGAAACTCTGTCGTGAAGAGACAAAGTTTTGGGGTACTCATGCATCGGGACTTATGTAGTTTCAGCATCCCCCTTTGCTCCAAAGTCGCCGGATTTTCCCGAATTTACCCGAATTCATCCGAGCAACCAGATTTTCTGATGAATCCTCGTGTGCAGCACTCACTCGTCGTAGCGCTTGAAGTCCTCCGCGGAGAAGGGGAACTGCGCCGGCCACTCCGCCTTCCGCAGCACCTACCGCGGGAGAATTACCCACGTGCGGGGGGAGGAGAGTGGGGGAAACGGGGAGAAGGTGAGCAGACGGAGGGGAAAGAAGGGGAGGGGAAGAGGGAGGGATGGGAGTGGGAGGGGGTGGGAGGGTAACACCAACCAATACGCGCCTACACATTCCGGTGCTGCGCTTGTGCCACTCGCATCAGCCTCGGATGTAACATCACCGCTACTCTAGTTACATCCAGAAATTGGCCTACCTACATCTTCCTGGTTTGTGCTGTTCCAGTATTTTCTTCATTTCTTAACCCCCCCATGTTATTGCGCAGAACGAGGTGATTATTGGGCACCTAGTGACGACTGCTAGCCTCCCAATGACAGCCACTAGTCACCCTAGTGGCGCCTGCCAGTGACTCCTATTAGTCGCCTAAACCTCGACGGTTGTACGTTAACCCGCCACGCGCGCTCACCTCTTCTGCTTCAGAGGCCTTCGATCGCGCCACGGCAGGCCCAGCAGCCCCCGCGGAGCCAATCAGCGGCAGGAGAAGCCCGCCGAGCCGCTGCATGGCGGTTCGACGGCGGAAAAGCGGCCCCGCACCGCCGTTGGAGACCGCGGAGAGTGGTGAGGAGGACGCGGCTCGGGAGGCTGATTTGCGGGACGAGGATGGGGAGGGGGAAGCGGAGAAGGATGCGGAAGCGGCGCTGGTGGCGGGGGAAGGGGAAGAGCGGAGAGAATGCGAGGAAGACGCGGGGGAAGCAAGATGCGCGGACATCATTCGCGTGGCGACGGCGGAGTGCAGAGCGAGGGCGGAAGGGCTCATGGTGGAAGCGGACGTTCGCACGTGGGAGCACGCGCGCGGAGGTTACGGCTGGTAGCAAGCGCACGCGGCAGCTGAAAGGTAGATTCTCAGTGTGTAGAGGAATGGCTGGAATGGAGATTTGCATGCAACGCACAAATGTAATTTGATGGATGCAGGAATGAAGGGTGTGTTGGACCAGGCTGAATTATCGTTGGTGCCGCGGTACTTAGATATTGTTTTGAAAATGTACTGTATTTTTTCTCGGGGAACAGACCAATTCCCATAAATGTATTTCCTCTATTTCCACTGTACGCCCTACCTTGACAAAGTTCTGTACGGCCTGAGGATACTGCTTGTCCAGCATACAACTGAACACGTCCTTTTACGAGTGAATTTGACACCACATTTGAGTAAAATTACCAGTGACGTGTTATGCTGTCTGAGTGCCACGTTCATGCTGGGTGCCATGCTGGACAAGCTTGGAAAGGCTGATGCGTGACTGGCTGTCAGCGGTTGGGAGCCGGATTGATCCTCGATATGGAAGGATGGCACAATTAGGGACTGTATTGGATTTAGATTCTGAACAAGAAACTGGAGTCGCTATATTCCAGAACTGTTCGGAAAACTTGAGGCTGGTTGGTACTGTTTCGCACGAACCTGCCCTCGGTTCACGCGTCTGTGCTGTGGCGCAGTTTCGTCCACGTTCAAAAGACAGGAAACGTGGACTTCTTTGCTTACGTAAACAGACCCAGCCCTGTTCGCCACATCAGATCGGAAGATCTGCAGCCTGACGCAGTTTTGGTCCACGTCACGTTCTTCGAACATCCCAATGTCCCTCCTGGTTGGTCAGCTATACCTCTCAGCCACGGCAAGCAGGCGCGGGTATATCCCCACCAAGGACTGACCATCCCAGGCCAAACAGTAGGTACGGAACAAAACGAACCCAGAGTGTCAGTTGGGTTCTAGCTGTCAGGTTTCATCCAAACCTTACCCGAACCTCGTTGCTTGGCTTGGTCAAGCTTGTTTTCTGCTTCGTTTCTTGGCTTGATTCAGCATAGCTGGGCAAGAGGGAATCTAGCCTCTATCGCTGAAATGCCTTGTAATTAGTACCGCCCCTTCAGAAGTGTATTTGCATCCTCTAATTCCTCAGCTGCCTTCCGCCAGCCAAGGTACACTGCACTGCTTCCCGCTCTTCCGTCCTTCCGACGGTAGACATCAAACAGCTCGCGAACTCCATTAGTTCAGCTATCGACCATGGCTGCCACCTCAGTCGCCACGTCATCGCTGCTCTGCCAACAATCTGACGCGCTGAGCTGGTCCGGTCGTGTCAACGCGGGGGGCGTCAGCTCGAGCGGAAGCGGATTGAGGAAGGTCGCATGCGTGGCGCAGCCCGAGCGAGGAGTCCAAGCCGGACGACGCCAGTCGCGTGCGACTCGCTGCGAAGGTAATGCGACTGATTCGTGCAGCACTGAATGTATGACACAGTTGGATAGTTGTGGCGCGGAAAGTGATGCCACAGAGAGGAACAGTGCGTGATGCCTGTTCAGATGTGCTTAAAAAATTATCTTAGTGAACGAGATTTGATTACGCAATTTCGAATTGAGTCACGACAGAAAGATGATTTGCAACGCTTTTGCACGTTAACATGATACCGACTTTCGCTTCCCTACCAATCCCATGGCGTTCCATTCCCGTCCCGCGCCTGAGTTCTTCTTGCTTTCCGCCCGCGCATCTACTCATTCCTCCCTGCGCTACTTGCCTCCCCGCCTTCTTCCCCTTTCCCTTTTTCTCCCCACCCCCCCTCTTCCCCCCCCTCCCTCTTGTTCCGCCATCAGCCACCCCCGCGGCGACCAGGCGGAACGTGCTGCTCGGTGCGGCGTCCTCCGTGTCCCTTGCGCTCGCCCCCGCTCCGCTCCTCGGCTCCGCGCTCGCTCTCGGTGAGTGCGGAGGAGCCCCACTCCCCCCTCCCCCTCTTCCCGTCCCTCCTTTCCCGCCCGTTGCTCGGACTCGCGCTGCTCGGCGATACGCGCGCGGGTTGCGAGCGAAACGGGACGTACGTACGGAGTCCTCGAGGGGATCCAATAAGCAAGAAACAGAAATGTATGTTGTAACTGGCACAGCTTGCACAGCTTGCACTGATGGCACTTGTAACTGGCACAGCTTGCACAGCTTGCACTGGTGGCACTGCTGTGGAACATTCAGAGCACAGCTGGCACAGGTGGGTGGCACGGGGAATGTTCCATTCGTGCTGCCGCGGGCGTGACGCTAGGGAGGCGCGAGCGACGCTAGGCGGGCGTGGAAGCCGGCGTGTTTCGACACCCGCGCTTTCCGATGCAGGACGCAGCGACCAGAAATAGGAGAGAGGTTCCCGTCTCGACTCTCTCATGCGTCTTCTGAAGTGCCTCGAAAGCCGTTTGAACGTTTCCCTCCTGCTCTCCCCTCTCCGCTCTCCCCGCTTTCCTCTTCCCCCGCCACGTGTCTGTGTGTGCACAGCGGCACCCAAGGGCTTCGCGGCGCATCAGGACGCCATTGACCGCTACCAGTTCTACTACCCCTTCGGCTGGCAGGTGCGTTCCGCCCTCCTTTCAAGACGCCTCAAAAGGCGCCCTCCTTTTGAGGCGCCTCAAAAGTCGTCTCTTGCCTTGCGGCGCATCAGGACGCCATTGACCGCTACCAGTTCTACTACCCCTTCGGCTGGCAGGTGCTCTCCGCTTTCTCCGTCCCTTCTCCTCCTCACGCCCGCCCGTGCTCCTCCCGCTCATCTTCGTTCCACCCGTTTTCGCTCCCCCCATTCGCATTCCACCCATCCTTGTTCCTCCCGTATTCGTTCTGCTCCTGCTCGTTCCGCCAATGGTCCATCCGCTCATCCTCCTCCCGCCCACACCGTTCCGCCCACACTCCTTCCGCCCATATTCCATCCGCCCTATACTCGTTCCATCCACACTCCTTCCGCCCATATTCCGTCCGCCCTATACTCGTTCCATCCACACTCCTTCCGCCCATATTCCGTCCGCCCTATACTCGTTCCATCCACACTCCTTCCGCCCATGCCCCTGCCCCCTCACCCTGCCTCCTCCCCCTGCTCCCCCCCCCCCCCCCCCCCTGCGCCCCCCCTCCTGGAGGTGAGTGTGCGCGGGCAGGGCGTGGTCAAGTCCGTTCACAAGGCGACACCGAATTAAATTCTCCTACATCCTCCCCTCCTCCCCTCCTCCCCTCCCCTCCCCTCCTCCCCTCCTCCCCTCCTCCCCTCCCCTCCCCTCCCCTCCTCCCCTCCTCCCCTCCCCTCCTCCCCTTCATCCCCCACTCCCCCCACCCTTTCAGGAGGTGAGTGTGCGCGGGCAGGACGTGGTGTTCAAGGACGTCATCGAGCCGCTGGAGAGCGTGGCAGTCAACATCTTCCCCACGGAGCGCGCCTCGCTCGCCGAGATTGGTCCCATTGAACAGGTGCGGTTCCTGGTGCATGCATGGGTAGGGGGGGGGATGGTGGGGGTTGTGTGGCGGGTGGATGAGTGGGTGGTGCTGCCGGTGGTGCTCCGCTGGAGAGCGAGGCGGTGAGCGTGGCGGTGTGCGTGGCGGTTAGCGTGGCGGTGAGGAGCGAGAGCTTTCTCATGGAGCGCGCCTCGCTCGCTGAAATCGGTCCCATCGAGCAGGTGCGATTGCTGAGGAGCCAGGGTGGGGAAAGTGGGGGAGAGCGGGGGAGAGCGGGGTAGGCGGGGTGGCGGATGAGTGGTGCGCCGCTGGAGAGCGTGGCAGTGAACATCTTCCCCACGGAGCGCGCCTCGCTTGCTGAGATCGATCAACTGCGCAGCGCGCACATGCTAGGGAGCCAGGGCGCGCGGGCAAGAGCGAGTGGTGAGCAGCAGCAGAAGGCGGGCCCAAGGGTGCGCAGGCGTGCGGTATGGCAATCGAGTGCCGATAGGGAAGAGCCTGCAGTGCATGGGGACGGGCGGGTGTCTCTCATGGTGCATGGTGCATGGAGCATGGTGCATGGGGTAAGGTGCCAGGAACAAGCGAGTTTGGAGCCCGGGGCAGCAGAGCGAGATCTACTGCTTGATGCACCTTGGAAATGCGCTGGCAATGACAACCCCGGGCCAGGGCGAGTGTGAGAGTTTGGGCATGTTGTGTCGTTTGTTGTATTGTGCTTGAGTGTGGCCGTTTTCCGTGATGGATAAGGGAAGGGTGAATGATGACGATTTGATGGTAGGTTACTAAGTCTGTCTAGCCATGGTGGCAGGGAATAGAATGGTTAGAGCGACATGGGTTGGGTTGAGGAGGGAAGAAGTAGAAAGGAGGTTTCATGGAAAGGAAATCATTTGTAAAATTGGAAGACAAGATTATTTTCGTGATTGGCAGAATCTCTGAGTGTATATCTCTGTTGAGTTTGAGTGCTCATCCGTTACCCCACCACACACCCCTCGCGCTCTACCCCGAGCAGGTGGCACAGACGCTGGTGGAGAAGGTGCTCACAGCGCCCTCACAGAAGACCAAGCTCCTTGACACACGCGTGGTGAGATCAATGCCCGTGAGCTATGCCGGTGTGGGCTGGTGTGGGCCGGTGTGGGCTGGTGTGGGCTGGTGTGGGCTGGTGTGGGCTGCTAGAGGCTGATGTGGGCAGGCATGGGTAGGCAAGATGGGTAGGCAAGATGGGTAGGCAAGATGGGTAGGCAAGAAGGGTAGGCAAGATGGGTAGGCCACCTGTGATCACCATCGAATGCCGCCTCGCTCGCCGCCTGTCAGGTTTCCGTGCGGTACAGTCAGGACAGAAAAGGCCGCCTGGTCATGCGTGTTCTTGCTTCACTTGCTGGCACGGTGGCACCATTCCCCAGGGGCAACTTAGCACTCGCATCGTCGCCCCTGGCTTGTCATCTCCTCAACCTTCTCATCCCATCTAGTCCACCCGTCTGCCTGTCTTTGACACGCTCATGCAACTGGATGGGCACATAGACCAAGTGCTCTCTGACTGCTGCTTTCGTCCTTCTCTTTGTCCCTGCTGCTGCCTCTCGCTCTCCCACTTGCTCGGCTCCTGTCTCATTCTCTCCACTTACCCCCTCTATCCGCCTTTCCTCCCACCGAGGGAGTTGGACGGGCACACACACGACAGCTGCTGCCTTGCACCTCCTTTCTCTCTTCCCGTTGTGCTCCCCCGCTCACTAGCCTGGCATCTGCCTCTCCCTTTCCGTCCTTTCTATCCTTCCTTTCCACCATGCTCTCCCACAGAGGGAGCTGGACGGGCGCACGTACTATGACTTTGAGTTTGTGGCGCAGGCATCCAGCTACACTCGCCACGCTCTCGGTACAATCGCCATTGCCAACGGTACGTGCTGCGGCAAGCTTGCTGCATGTACAGTAGCAGCAGACTGCAGGGGCAGAGAAGATGGTAGAAAAGAGGATTCATGTTGGTTTTACTGTACACCTGTGGGATGATGGACACTCAAGAGGTCCAAATTTCAAAGGTTTCTTGTCCTGCCAGTGCCATACACCTGTGCTATATGGTCTGTGATCCTCGCCAGTCTTGTCCTGCACTCTTTCTGTGTGTGCCACCGTACCTTAAGGTTCCTTTAGCTGACTCTGTGTGTGTGTGTGTGTGTGTTTGGCGGTGGTGCAGGCAAGTTCTACACGCTGACAACTGGGGCGAATGAGCGCCGCTGGAGCAGGGTGGATGAGAAGCTGCGCACAGTGGTGGCATCTTTTGTCACTCTATAGACTTGAGCAGGATTTCGTTTCTCTTGTGTGTGTGTGTGCGTGCGCGCGTGTTGGGGGGAGCACATGCGAATAAGACAACAAAACGTGTGACTGGTTGTTGTGTGTTTGGAGGCCTGGTTGTATGGTAGATAATCTATTTTGGTATGGGGAATTGAGGTGGCTTGATCACCTCTAAATGAATCAGTTTTCCAGAGAGTTTCAATGAAATGTACCAGGACCAGTGACAAGTTCCGCTACTCAACAGCCTAATCTAAGCTTCAGCACTGGAGAATCATGCTTACGGAACGTCTGTCAGAAGCGATCACCACCACCATGCTTTTGGGTGAAACCATGGCTGCTAAAGAACAACTCCTCACAGTCTCTGCTAGAATATGTAGCCCTGCTTGGTTTTTAGACATTATTTTCTGCCTGAAAAGTAGAGATTACTGCTGGTAAAAACCTTACATTGTGTATAACCAATGTTATTTGCCTTGTTTGGTGCAATCTTGCATTGGGAAAGTTGACGACACTCTACATTTGCGCTCATTTATTGCACACTCGATTATATACATGTTTGATGATCGTGTGTTCCTGACACGGATTTGAAAACGCCTCTTAGAAGCCCCTGGGGCTTGATATGTGATTAAATATGTGATGAATTAAGTCCCTAGCCCTTTGGAGATCAGTTCAGAACGCCGCTGGCACGCAAATGCACCTCGCTCCTACAGTCCCAGAGCAAGACCTACCATTGTAGTCATGAAACCGTATGATTGCTGTTGAGGTAGTTCCACCGTAGAAGCGGTAAGCACCTGAGCATGGCATTGTCGGCTGCACACTCTTGATCCTACCCTTCTTGCATAATCCCATCGTGAACGACCAATACTCTGCCCTGAGGCAAACCTGGGATCATAAGATGCATGGGAAAGAGGTTCATGAATCAATCAGGTTGTCGGAGAAACCGAAGTAGACTAACAAGGGATGCACAATAAAGACAAGTAGTCGATAGCACACGTACCGTAGTCTTGTGACATAATTTCTCAGCGAGCAGCAAAGCCCTGCTCGCTGAGTTTGCCCAACTAAGTTTGCTGCTCACTGAGAAATTATGTCACAAGTAGTCGATACCACACGTACTGTAGTCTTTCGGAAACCCTGCAAAGCCCTCAAAGCGCTCCTACCATTGTCCCCCTTTCATAAAAAACGGTCCCCCAACCTAAAAATCCTCACCTGTACACCGATGTTGCTGCCGATAGCAGAGGCAGAGGAAGGGATGGTGGCGGAGCAAGTGAGGCCGGGATTGTTGCGGTACAGCGCAGCCCATGTGTTCTCACTGGCACCCTCTAGTGAAGTGACAGTCCTCTGAAGCAGCCGCTCGCACGTGTCTTGAGGTGTGAGCGTGCCGTATCTGACACACTCGGGGACAGTGAAGGCGAAGGAGGCACTGCGCTCGAGGCACACGGAACGGCCTGCTTTGATGGGCTTGGAGCAGTCAAGGCCGGGGTTGAGTGCGGTGAGATCAGGTTCGGTGCAGTTGAGCTGCCTGCAGATGGATGCACAGGTGTCCCCCTGGAGGGTTGGTGGAGAGAGGCAGGGATAGGGATGCACAGATGCTTGGATTTTGCTCACTGGCTTTGACAATCATGCTATATGTTGAGTTGAGAAGGTGAGTTGGTTGAGTTTGAAATGTGGTGCGGGCAAGAAAGCGGAAGGTCTCACAGTGAGGGAGTAGAAGAAGGCAGTGCAGGGTGTGGCAGGAGTACCAACCAGCTGAAGAACACTGCCCTTGGGCAATGGCTGACTGCAGTCAATGCCCTGCATTGGGAAACACATGCATGGAAGAGAGGGTTGCATGGGCAAGGCCACGTGGGCAAGGCCACGTGGGCAAGGCCACGTGGGCAAGGCCACGTGGGCAAGGCCACATGGGCAAGGCCTCCACTCCTCACTGGGGTTTGTCTTGTGAGAGTAAGGTCTTCAGACCTTAATGCCCAATAGAACATTCTAGGAATATTTCTGTCAATGAAAAGGTTGAGAGTAGAGAGTATCTTTTGCAAGATGGATGGGAGCGTGTAAGTGATGCGAGCGTGAAAGGAGGATATCTATCTCAACCAGTAGGCATATAATTGGGAACCAACCTGCAATGCAGTGAGTACTCGCTGGAACAAAGAGTGAAGAGTGATGCGAGATTCAACGAGTGAAGTTACGTAGAGACAAAGTGATATGGAAAATGCAATCCAAATGATGGATGATGGCTCGCATATACCAGCACCACCTCTTCACTCACTACGTTTTGGCCAGTGAAGTCAATCAGTGAGAGGCCAACAAGGGGATGAACATCCGAGCACCACCAGTTGTCGCCACTGACTGTCATTGTGGTGGCCGTGGTGTTGGCTGCAGGCAAGAACGGGGAGTGAGACAGAGGCAATGTGTTTGCAGGAAGATCCAAAGATAGAGAACGGAAGTTGCCGGCCCCTCAACCAAGCTGAGGTTACCAGGCTTACTCACGAGCAAAGGAGACATACAGACATATTCAAGCCACCTACTTGGATCGCAGGTGGGGAAGCCGTCAACGGTTGTGCTGAGAACGTGGTTGGGAGGGCAGATGCAAGAGTAGGAGCCCTTGCCATCGTTGATGCATGCTCCCACGTAGCAGGGGTTCTTGAAGTACGACCCACACACGTCCACTGCCACAGTTGTAGTGGGGTGGTGGGTAGTACAGAGATTGGGGAAGTTGGATACAGGAAGAATAGAGTCAATTTTCGAGTCATTTAAATAAACTTGAAGTACCATGACCCACACACGTCCACTGCCACACGAGTACCGGGGTGGCAGATAGTACCAAATGTTGAGAAAGACATGGTATTCAAGATGAGAAGGAGGGGAAAAAATGGGGATAGAAGAAGGGGTATATGGCTGCGCACTCCCATCCAGCCTTGAGATGTCTCAAAACTCCTTCCAGCCAGATGGCGACAGGACCTCTGGCCGCTGCAGCTAGAGGGCCTCTAGCACACATCAGACGCGGGCGGGAGTACGTACTACTGTATGTATTACACATGATTATTGAGAGGAGACTTGTTTCTCGCCTCTGTGGCACGCGCTGCCTATATCTGAGAACAGCCAGACAAAGGTGATTGTCAGACCAGTCTGCTTGCCCTTCTACTCACCTGTCCACTTGCCATAGAACGTGCCATCACTTTTGAAAATTCTCAGAAGTGATTATACCAGCCGGACAAACAAACTTCAGTGGGGGACCAGTCTACTTGCCCTTCTACTCACCTGTCCTCCTGCCGCAGAACTCACCATAAGCACATGTGTTGGAGCCGTATCCATTCTCAACCTCCACAAAGGGCTGCACAGGAGCGGTAGGAACGTTGCAGGTGCAGTTGTTGGTGGTCTCTGTCGTCCCCTGGCACTGGAAGCGACCGCACGGGTTCATGCTGGGCTGCAAATCCCCATCGCCCTTGTAGCTGCTCTGGCCGCAGGGGTCGCCTGGAACTGGAAAGGTGTTGAAGGGCCATGGGGATACACTTGAAAAATATGAGGATGGAGTTTAGAGGACGACAACAAACAAACAAGCGTGGAGGAAAGAGAATATTCGGGTCATGCAACTTTACTAAGCACCACAGTAGCTACGCACCACTCAGGGGATATGTGCTTACCAAGCTAGACACTATGATTGACCACTAGTGACAGAATCTAAAAAAAAAAAATAGATTGCTTGCAGAGTGAATTAGGTCCAGTACAGAACCCCTGAAGTGCTTTGTAATATGCCATTGTGTGCTGTGCCGCTCGCTCGTGTACGCCAGGAGTTTGGTACTACCCTGAATTTTCTACTCTAGTGCATACTTGCGGTAGTCTTATAAAGTATGACGTTTTTTTTTGTTTGGCTACATATGCCTTACTCTTGACAATGGGGTAGATGCCAGGCAGCACGTTGATGCCACACACGCCATCCCCTCCCTGGATGTCCATGCGCATGTGCCCTCTCTTGCCCCACTCCTCTCCCCACGAGTTGCGCATGATCCAAAACGGAGGAGCAATGCGGTTCTGGCTGCCATCATTTCTTGTGATGAAGTAGCCAATAACGAGTACAACGTGGTTGAGATTGCCCGTATAGCAACCCGGATCCTGGTACTTGAACGTCTGAAACGAATCGGGACCATAACCACAACATTTATACATGGGGAATTCAAAGAAGTACAGCCAGTTGGGTATGAAGCTGTGGAAGGTGATACAGCACTGCAAAGTGAAGGCAGTCGGTATATACGATCCAAACCCATAGTGGAATAGCATCAAAGTACCTTCCATCCAACCGATGACCATAAACACAAGGACCGCACTGCACGGCATGCATGCTCCAAAGCTAACGAGAGTTGCAGTGACTCACCCCATCATAGAGCATGAAGGTTGGAGACGCCTCAATGTGAACCACCACTGGCTGCCGCTGCACTGCCAGCATGAGCCCCACATACCCCTTGAACTGCGCTCGCTCAAATGCCTGCACCGGGTACGTTGTTGCCTGGGGCCACGAGGGGGCAGCATTGTTGCATGGGAAAAGGTGGGTTGTTGTGGGTGAGTTCGGGAGGGCTTGGCGGAGTTGTGAAACTAGAGAGTGGTACAACCGGTGCTCCTGGTGCAGTGCAGGACACACGAAAAACAACTTCCACCATGGCAAATGATGGGTCAAGGAATCAGCAGCCAATCTCTGAGCTCCAGACACCAACAAGAAGATCGGATTTTGTTTTCATTCTCGTAAAATCACCTGAGTGATTGGATGAAGTGATTTACCCTCCACAAAATCTCACATCTATAAACCTTCCATGTCTATATCCCATCTCACAATACATACATACCATACCACGTCCTCATTGTGCTGGCCCTACCGGGTCACTATCCCCTGTGAGCCCACTGGAGGCATCGAGAGCTGTGAGCGTCTCAAAGGCTTCCGTGGGGGAGCCTCCAGCAGAGCACTTGTCGGAGTCGGAGAGCCCCATGAGGGCGAAGAGAGAGTCCACTGCCAGCCGGGGAGCACTCTGCTGCTTTGCAATGCCGTATGCCGCCTCCACACTCGCCACCACCGCATACGCCCAGCACGCATCTGAGAAGGACTAGGACAAGAAAGGTGAAGCGTTCAGTCAGGGTGGAGTGACAAAGATAGGCAGGCTGCAAATTGAAGTTACAATATTTCAAGCTTGTTTAACTTTGGTGGAGATTTCTCATACCAAACCCATCGATCTGATCAATTTTGATGGATTCTCGTTTTTTATTACTACTACTATTATTATTATTATTAGTATTAGTATTAGTATTATTATTATTATTGTTATTCTTATTATTCTTATTATTATTATTATTATTATTATTATTATTATTATTACTATTATTATTATTATTATTATTATTATTATTATTATTGTTATGACGCGCTGTAGGTAAGGCTGTGTGCCTTTCATAAATTTATAAATCACTGGCACTTGCAGTCTCTGAGACACGGAAGTGCAAAATTGTGATCATCTTTCCACTCACTGCAGTCGTCTTGGTTCTTGACAGGCCAGTTGAGGAAGGGCACAGAGTCCCACGTGTGAAAATCACGAATGCTCCATGAATCTGCTTCCGTGGCTGACAGCTTGAAGTCCGCACTCACATAGCGCGAAAAGGGACTGGCGTGAGACGGTGCAAATGTGGCCTCTGAGAGAGCGAGGCCGAGGGCTGTGAGGGGCGGGAAGGGTTGGACATAAAAGAGAGATGTGGATAGGGTAGTGGTTGAACTTGAGATGCGTGGTATGGTCTGAAATTATGCAACACGGTCACTTGCAACACAGACCCAATCCCCTCGCAAGCCCCACTCGACTGTGAAGGCACCAGTTGGTACCTCTGGGAAGTTTGACGTAAGAAATCGATTAAATGTTCTGGTGGTTTAAGGGCTCCTCAAGAAATATCACGGAAATGATAGGTATGGAACTGGGGGGCAATCCCCAATGAGCTCGGCTGAATGAAACCTTTAGCGAGGTAGGAGTTTTCAGTTGATCACAGGTAAGTATGAGATAAAACCTCAACCTCGGTAACATTCCATCCAAGTTGCGAGCCTTACCTTGTAGATGAGCAGGACACGCCAGTCACATTCCGCTGGCGCCTACTAGCTACTTGGGAGATTTATAATGCCTTTCACTTCTAAAGCGCTATCGGGATACTAATAAGGTGTACACGGGATGCCATGATTGCGTGATGTACAAAGTATGGACGATCTTCAGAGCACGAGCAAAATATCATCAGAGTATATTAAGGTAGTGAGCTCACCTTGCTCTTTGATTTGGACAGCCTTGGGTAAAGGAGCGCCTGCGAAGTGAAACAAAAGAAGAAGAAAGAGAAGTACAAAAGCCATAGAGTGCTGGTTGGGTATAGGACAGGGAGAGCACCACTTGATTGGGTAGCAATGGCAAGAACGTGCTACATAGCTCTGCTAGTCATGATCTCAATTAAGCCTATCCATGGCACGAGCCATCAATATCGCGGAACATCACGGAACAACACAGAAAGACACCCTATCCAATGTATACTGCAACACGCATGAGCCAGTTCTTGAACCCAAATTGGTTCGGTACGAACAGAGTCAAACCAACTGGGTGGTCGAACCGAACCCGAACCGCTTCGGGTCGAATTGGCTGATTTGATAGAACGGGTTCAAGTTCGGTTGCATCCTTGCATGCTCGAATCATGTCCGCTTTTGAGAAATTCAGCATCATCCCACCTGCCCGAAATGACCTTGCCTGTTTGTACAGTTGAGAACAGTATGCCATGCAGCTGGAAGGGCTTCACAGCAGTAGACGCCGTAAACCCAAACGAGAACGCCTGCTGCTTCACTCCTGGCTGCAGCACCTCACACAGAGACACCCTCCTCTGCAGCAGCACCTCCTCTGGCTTCACGTTCGAGCTCGCCAGGAACACTTGAATGGTGCCGGGATCCCCAGGCTCGTAATCCACCCATGCCGTGTACGCATTGCCATCCGTGAACATGAATGGTGATACACTTGCCACCAACGATTCCTCTCTGCCTTTAAAGCTTAGCCCCACGTGCTGGTGGCTCTCTTTAATGTCAAATGTAACGGCTATGCTCCGAGCTCCCACCCCGCTATACCCCACACCACCAGGCTTCCCCGCCTTGGCCGTTGCGGCAATCACAAACGCAAAGCCGCTGGGCCCGGTGGCGCTACCAGAGTGGTGCAAGAGAGCGAAGGTGAAGTTGGCACTGAATGCCAGCTCCAAGCCGCATCCCAACGTCACACCAGGCGGATACATGAAGAGGGTGACTGGCTTTTCTCCAAACCACCCCACCGTCTCCTGCTGCGTGCCCTTGGTGAGCACCGTGAATGGCGGGAGAATGCTCCTTGGGAGGACTGGAGAGTGGAGAGTTGCGAGGGAAGGGCAACAGTGCATGGGAAAGGGTGGGAGTGGTGTAACAGTAGATTGTGTGTGCCAAGCTTTGCAAACCAGATTATGTGGTCAACAAAACATGGAACTAGAACTCAACCCTATGCGGGTGACGTCCGTAGACATGGAACTAGAATTTGTGCATGGTGATGTTTACGGTGATGAATGCGTGTGTGGCACCATGATTCAGTTCAGCAAGCTTAACAAGTATGACTAACCTGGGGTATGTGCAAGAGAGCATGGGTTAACTATATGTGTGTGTGTGCTAGAAAGTAGAGGAAATGGATAAAAAGCAACAAAGACTGTGACGTCCTTGGATCCAGTGCCTTATTCTTCTGAAAGCACGCTGCAATCGCTTCTCACCTCCTGAGACACAGCTGATTACGCCAAATTGCACCGACCCGGCACCACACAGGCACGTTGGCACCAAACTGGGCCCGTCTGGGTAGCACGCGCCACGGCCACCACAGGCAACAGTGGTCGGCGAGATTCCACAGAAAGCCAAGCACTGCGCTGCTGGCCGCTCCAGGTCCCCACAGGCCTTTCTTTTTGTGAAGCAGTTGGCAACGATGGTGTGACGGCGGCAGTCAGGACGGCGCACAGCACCAGACAGGTAGTTGTTGGAGAAGTCTGCTTGGATGCCCGAAAGATTCACAAGAGGGCCTGTGAGGTAGTTGTGAGAGAGATCACTGCAATGGGGAGCGGAGAGAGAAATGGAGGTGCGCATGGTGGGGTGGGTTCGAAATCATAGGCAGGAATTATTTCACAAGGGCTGGGAGATAGGAGGATAGGATGGAAAATTAAGATAGCAGGAGAGGATAGGAAGGGAGAGAGGCGAATGGAGAGCATGGGTTTGGACTGGCATTAAGAGGAGGAAAATGGGAGAGAGGAGAGGGGCAGAAGCCGGAATGTACTTGCTGTTAGAGATCAACTTCATCATCATTATTTTGCACTTGCTTGTACTTTCTGTATCCTAGTATAGTGTTGTTGTAGGTCCTTCTGGTTGGGTGTTTCACCAGTATTGCAACCCTACCCAGATGTAATGTAACCAATCAAAATGTCCAAACCACCAATTCAAGATTTCAGCCGATCCGACTATGGATAGCCCATTGATTTGTCTCGATCGACACCGCCCTTCAGGCTTGAACTTGAAGACTTGGGCGTCAACCCATGAGCTGTTCAACCCACAAGTAGGGTTGACTGATACTAGATAGGCACCCAAACTAAGGTTGGGAGCGATGTTCTATCCAAGCTATGTGCTGTAAGATGCAAGATGCAAAGTGGGGCATCAATTGGAGGGGAAAACGTTGAAGGGAGGAGCGGAACACAGAACACAGCCAAGCAAAAGGGCTTACAGGAATGTCAGGTTCCTAAGGTTGCCGATCGCAGTGGGGATTGTGCCAGTGAGCTGATTGCCAGAAAGGGATTTGCACAGATGAACATGAATGGCCATGCGGTGGACACAAGGATCTCAACTTTGAGTTTTGAGCAAGAATGGCCGTGTGGTAGGTACGAGGATCTCAACTTTGCAGGGAAAACGACCAGCAGATAGGACCGAGAGAGCACCTCTAAATGTGTGCAGAATGGCAGGGGATGGATGCGGTTAGGAAAATGAAGGGAGATGTGTTGTTTGCTTGCACCAGGGTATGTCTTCCATGTACAGATGTGCATGAAAGAGAGCATGAGAGAGGGGAGGCGAGATGGAGAGGCAGAATCAAGATAGGAGCAAAAGGAAAAGCAAGGAATGCGGAGGACGGGACGGATCATGTGAAGAATGATATGAAAATAGGAAAAGAGATGCACGAGAAGAACGCAAGGTTGGACTGGAAATGTCCAAAAGTTAGAGTGTGAATGGGGAAAAAATACGAAGAGAGGTATGAAAAAGCATAGAGGGAGAAGGGTAAAAGTATTAGGCCTAACTTTGCTTAAATACTTTTTTTTTGTCTCCACACTTCAGGCTACTGATCTTCATGTTTCGACTCGAGGGCTTGAACATTGGGCCATGAGCAGTCCAGGCTAGTTCAACAAGAACCAAAGTGGTTGATTCGACCTGAACCCATTAGGGTTTGGTACTTGATAGTGCCTACTTACAGGCTTTGTAGGTTTGTAAGGTTGCCGATTGCAGCAGGGATTGAGCCAGAGAGCTGATTGGCAGAAAGGTGTCTGCAAATACGAACATTAATGGGCATGTGGTAGGTAGATACAGGCAGCTCAAGGTTGCATGCAAATGAGAAGCGGATAGGAGCAACTCCATCCATCAGCACGAGACACCCTAAGGACTGTAACCCAGGCACGAAAGGCAGTGACGTGGGCATGGCATTAGGTCTGTGCTTGCTCAGGTTCTCAGCTGCTTACACATTTGAAAAACTGAACTCGAACCGGTTCAACCCAGATTCCCCCAACTCGACTCAAACCCTTCCAGATTTGAACTTTAGAACTTCAGAAGCTTATAATTGAAACATGAGCTGTTCAGGCTGGTTCAACCCGAACCAAAGTGGCTCAGTCAGTCTGACCAGGTTCGCCCCAGACCATTCGGGTTCGGTACTGGCTTGCTCGTGGCTACATACAGGTTTCGCAGGTTTGCAAGGTTGCCGAGGGCAGTCGGGATTGAACCAGTGAGCTGATTGTCATTCAGGTATCTGCGACAATGTGCATGAATGTGCATGAATGGGCATGAATGTGCATGAATGGGCATGGATGCGATGGATAGTGGATACAGCGAGGTGAAGATTGCATGAAAACGAGCAGCAAATAGGAGCAAATAGGAGCAAATAGGAGCAAATAGGAGCAAATAGGAGCAAATAGGAGCAAATAGGAGCAAATAGGAGCAAATAGGAGCAAATAGGAGCAAATAGGAGCAAATAGGAGCAAATAGGAGCAAGGGACTCCAATGAGAGGTGAAATGAAATCCCAGAGAATGTAACAGAGGCATGAAAGGCTGCACGATTAATGGGCGTTGTCTGCGGAATGTGTGCAAACAATGGCAGGGGATATAGGAGAAAGAAAGGGTGCGGGGAAGAGTGCAAGGAGAGAGGAGAGGAGGGGCAAAGGCAAAAACGCACAACAGAGCAATCACGCTTACATGTAGCTGAGAGTCGTTAAGTTGCTGATTGCGGAAGGAATGGCACCGGTGAGCTTATTCCCTCGAAAAGATCTGTGACAATGAACAAGTAGCAGGCATGCGGGTCAGGCACGAGCATGGGTAGAACTGGCCTGGTAATCGAACCACATAGAACTGGCCTGGTAGTCGAACCGCACCTGATCTGGTCCACGCCGAACCAGCTGAAGACCAACCAGTACTACTCGACCAGTCCATCCCAAGCCCATACCTTTCTTTTCTCCCTCAGCCTTCTTTCATATATACTTTTCAATAGCGCACATCGACCCTGGTTCGTCAACACTCCATCTGTAGTTCCAAAAAACATTTGTACAGCTAACGCTCCTACAACTGAATGGCTAGTTTGCTTGTCTTCCTCTCTTTGGTCCTACCCACCAAGATGTGGGTCAACGATACGCCTTGTGGTTCATGGTAACGGTTTCAACAGATGTTGCATAGCGAGTGGTTCATTTCCTCCCAAACTCAACGAATCAAGGTTCCTCCAAGTTACTTAACCAATCTGCAAACTCACCCACAAAACGTTGACTAGCTCAAACCCTTCACATCCATCCAATTGAAGTTCCAATCTTTTCGAGACTACACTTCTGCACACCCAGGTTTTCTTCGATCAATGTAATCAAGCCTCATTCTCAATACATACAAGGTTCTCAGGTTCGAGAGAAAGCCGATTGCAGCAGGAATTGAACCAGTGAGCGCACCCCAACTTATGACTCTGGGATGATGGGCACAGATCATGTGACATATCATTCCAGAGATTTATTTTTGTGGAGAAATGAGCAATAAGTAATGGGTGAGAAAGCACATGGGCATACAGAATCCTCCACACATATACACGAAATCACAGAGGAAGCACAAGGTGATCAAATCTGTTCCTATTCTCCTAGCATGTCCGCAGAAGACAAAAGGTTGAGATAAACGCAGGAGAAGTGAGAGTGGTATTAAGAGAATACGGTTATGAGGGGGCTGAGAGGAGAAGCGGGGGGAGAGGGAAGAGGGAGAAAGATAGGGGGGGTGATTGGGGAGGGGGGATATAGAAAACATCGCCTGATAGACATGGGGGATATAGAAAGCAGTGTGACATGAAGGAGTGTGACATGAAGGAGTGTGACATGAAGGAGTGTGACATGGAGGAGTGTGACATGAAGGAGTGTGACATGGAGGAGTGTGACATGAAGGAGTGTGACATGGAGGAGTGTGACATGGAGGACATGAAGCAGTGTGACATGGGGAGGCGTTAAGTGAGGAGTGGGGGGGATGCGGGAGTGTGGAGGGGGAGGACATGGGGTGGCATGGCGTGCAACTCCGCCGGAACAACTGTGCAGTGCAGGACTGAGTCTGCACGATTGAGTCCACGCGACTGAGATTGCATGAGGTACTAATGTGACCACCCGATTCCTTAGCTACTGAGTACGGCAGGGACTAAACAGAGACTCGCACTAAGATCCCATAGCTAGCTGGCACTAAGATCCCAAAGCTAGCTGGCACTAAGATCCCAGAGCTAGCTGGCACTAAGATCCCAAAGCTAGCTGGCACTAAGATCCCAAGGATTGGTCAAATCCATATCTCAGTCCAGCTTAGATTTTCATGCAAGCAAGCACGAAGCGCATGCAAAGACTATGAATTGTATGGAGAGGGTAATGGTGGACGGACTGGAGAGGACAGGAGAGGATAGGAGAGGACAGGAGAGGACAGGAGAGGACAGGAGAGGACAGGAGAGGACAGGAGAGGACAGGAGAGGACAGGAGAGGACAGGAGAGGACAGGAGAGGACAGGAGAGGACAGGAGAGGACAGGAGAGGACAGGAGAGGAGGAGAGGACAGGAGAGGACAGGAGAGGACAGGAGAGGACAGGAGAGGACAGGAGAGGACAGGAGAGGACAGGAAAGGAC